GGTGACCTTCAGACGTGACCAGTGCTGCGAGGGCAGAGCAGATGGCATATCGCTTCTGTGTTGTGTGTACTCTGCGGTGCCAACGGCGCCAGGTTTTGGTTGGTGCAAACATGCGGCCCCCACGACACATATTTCCAAAAGCACCCTGGCCAGAACGATGAGTTCCACCACCTCGGACTCTGGGAACTCGAGCCACAGCTCTGCCAGGACCCCAGGACTCGGCACTGGTTTGATGTCCTGCCAATTCATGACAGCATAGGGCTGTCTATCGTTTCTGCGCACGTTGTTGTGAACAAAATTCACAATAGCTGGTCGAGTGGGAGCCTTGAACACAGCAGGCGAAGTGACATTTTTGCCAGATGTTTCCCCCTTTTCAGAGCACACAGGTGTCAGTGGACGAGCACACGCCATGGTGGGGAGAGGAGGCCACACTCCACTCCACCCGGCGGCTCCCACAGGAAAAGACATCCACTTTTTTAAAACTGATTTTATTGTGGCAAATATATGCAACATGAAAGTTACTATTCTGGCCATTTTTAAGCCTACAATTCAGTGGCATTAAGTGTATCCACAATATTGTGCGACCATCACCATTATCCATTTCCAGAACCAATCCGCCTCTCAGTTGAGCCACAAAGTCCCAGTCCCAGAGGGAAAATGCTTTCTCTGAGGTCACACAGCCAGGGACGGAGTGGGGTTAGACTCCAGGCTTGTTTCCTAGCCTGTGGTCCACCTGGCGCTCATCAGACACGCACTCACAGCTTCCCAGGACCTTTGCGGCTCCGGAGTCAGGCACACGGATGTCCAGGCGCAAGGACCCGCAGGATGGCAGCGTCTCAATGCCTGGGTACCCTCCCCGCCCGGGCACACGTCAGGGATCACCAGTAGATGGGGCTGTGGACATCCGATTTCCTTGAGCGACACGGAATGAAATGAAACATACACGGGGTGGGTGGGCTTTGCAGGACCTGGAATCTAGTCCTGGTCTTAGTGGTTCTTACGCCATCTCAGGGCTGGCATCACCCCAGAACCCCAGTTCCTCACTGTCCACGAGGCGGGACAATTCCTGCACTTGCAGCTGCACTGAAGGGCTCAGGGGTCCCGGGGCAGCAGATGGGAACCATTTATGAAGAATTCCACAAACATCAGGGACTATGCTTAGAAACAGCATCGCTAAGGCCCAGTGCTCAGTGTTTGACAATTACTATCGTTTATATTTCTGATGATTTCTGCTGTATTTTACCCTATTCTTTCTTCTCAGCGATCGCTGCACCTCAGCCACTGCCTGGGGCTGCACTGACCTCTCTGACCTTCCCCGGAACCGGACGTGGGGGTCCATGTTGGTATCCAGTCCTTCTGGGAGGCAAGGGGTCGACGGGGATGTCTGGCTCCTCCCACCTTTCTGGTTTCTCCCTCACAGCGAGCTCACCCTCAACAATCAGCCACGCGGCACTGACCAGCACCAGGTCCTGTCTCCTCCTGTTGCTATTTAATGTGCTTTCTTGTTCCCGCGTGCTCACTCCTGCTTGGCCGCAGGCCTAGGTCGGCTGTCACCGCCACCTGCAAACACCAGCTCCGACCCCATTTCCCATCCTGCGTGGGGAGCCCAGAGACTCGGAGCAGGTGCTTCACCGACAGGAGAGGGCGAGTCCGTGACCAGCGCCACAGGGAACTCTCGGAAAGCCCACCCGATTCTGAGCTCCGTAATCCTCACCCCGAGCGGTTAGCGGAGCTTGAAACTGTCCCGCACCTTGGCTGCCGTGAGGAAACCGCCTGTGCGATGGCATCGGGGCCTGAAGGGGGCGTGCTCAGCACCACCCAGCACCCACCCTGCCTTCCCAGCAGGAAGGGTCTCCGCCACCAGGAGAGGAAGGTCTTCTCCTCCCCCAGCCACACACCAGCCGGCGGATGGCAACTCAGCCCGTGAGAAGCATCGTCCCCACGAGCGCTCCGCTCCCACTCCTCAGATGGGCTTCTCTCCAAAGCTCCCCTGCGGTCCCCTTTCCTCTATAAAGAAACGTTCTCATCTGTTTTCTGGACCTACCGATATAGTCTTTAGCTATAGCATGCTTATCCAGAATTGCAATTATCTGCTATTCCCAAATAAACACATTTAAAAAAATATTTTCTATTGATTTCAGAGAGGAAGGGAGAGAGAGAGAAATAGAAACATCAATGATGAGAGAGAATCATCGATTGGCTGCCTCCTGCACACCCCGTACTGGGCATCGAGCTTGCAACCCAGGCATGTGCCCTTGACCAGAATCGAACCCAGGACCCTTCAGTCTGCAGGTCAACACTCTATCTACTGAACCAAATCAGCTAGGGCTAAACACATTTTTGCTGATAAAATAACTAGCAGTTTTATTTCTAAGGTCCATAGAACTGAACTTTTTGCTGTGGAACTGTACACAGCAAAATATTACCACACACAGAAATCACTCGCCTCTGTAAGTGCAGCAGGTGTCATGGTAACATATGGTAAACAACTTAAAACAGGAAACTGTTAGGTCAACCACGGGCTGTCCACATAAGATACAGCCATTCAGACACTAAAAATGATACTTGTAAAGGATGATTCGGTTACAGGTTCAGTGTCTAAAGCAGGACAGGAGTGTACGTGCAGCATGACCGCAGCTATGGAAATATATTCAGAGAGGGGTGGCGAGGGGGCGGGGGAGGGGAAAGGTACAACCTTCCAGTTACACGATAAAAACGACAGATAAATGAGGTTGTCAGGAATTACTATTTGATATGTCATTTATGCCATAACTCTGGTTTCACAAATAAAGTGGAATACAGTGCCTCATTATTTTTTCACAAAATCTGTAACACAATTCTCCCAACTTCTTAAAGCAGCAGAATCCTATTTACAAATGAAATCTTGCTCAAAAACCAAATAATCAAAACCACTAGAAGCAAAATGACTCAGGAGCCTGCCTCAGGTCCCCTCCACCACCACAGGCAGGCGGCCTCTGACTCTCGGGGGGTGGGGGAGGCTGGGGCCGGGAGCAGTGCCATAGGGGCTGTGGTCCTGGCTGCGAGGTGCCCAGCAGAAAGAGGCTCTGCCTCACCCGACAAGAAGGCTGCGGAGATGGCACCAGAACCCCGTGGCAGGAGGGCAGATGCTGCTGTGTGGGTCAGCCATGTTTTACTAAAAACACTTTCGTTGTCCAGCTCGACAAGGGGCCCCCCGACTTCCCTGGGGCGGCTGGGGGCCCTCACCGGGCCGGTGGG